TAGTGGGTTGTAAGGTTTCTCAAACCCTACAACCCCATTTCTTTTTTTTATCAAACCACTTATTTTTTGGAAAAAATAAAAATAAAAAACGAAAACTGCAAAAAAGAAAAGATTAAAAAAAACTCATTTTTTTTTTTCATTTTTGGTTACGAGTGTGTGTGTGTGTGTGTGTGTGTGTGTGTGTGGTGTGTGTGCTGGGGGGCGGGGGGCGGCAACCCCTCCCCCACCAATCAATCAATCAATCAATTGAAGAAAGAAAAAAAGTGGAAAAAAAGTGGAAAAAAGTGGGAAAAAAAGTGTGTGAGTGTGTGTGTGTGTGTGAGTGTGTGTGTGTGTGTGTGTGTGTGTGTGTGTGTGTGTGTGTGTGTGTGTGTGTGTGTGCGCACGTGTGGGGGGGCGGGCCCACCCCTTCCCCACCGATCAATCAATCAATCAGTCCATCAATCAATCAGTCAGTCAATCAATCAATCAATCAATCAATCAATCAATCAATCTCAATCAATCAATCAATCAATCAACCTGGATTTATGCTGTGTGCCAAAGAAAAGCAAGTCTCTTTTTCCCTACCTGGATTTCTGCTGCATGCCAAACAACAAGTCCGCGCGGGCACATAATATTTCCTTTTTGCCTGGCAATGCCAGCCTTTTCCTTCTGGTAGCCTAGAGCCCCTGTGTGTGTCAACTGCCGCGTTGGAGCAAAATAGCTCGGAAAGGGACTGGTGTTCTCAACCACCCTGCCCACGTAGTACCAAATGCAGTCTATGGGGCTCGTTCGACACTCCTCGGGCGCGTAAAGTCCCCGAGGAATTGTTCGTTCCACTTATCCTCAGGGTTGCTGTCGGAAAAAAAAAGTGAAAACACTCCGAAGGAAATTCCTCAGGCTCCGAGGATTCCCCAGCCATTTCTCCCTTTTGCCCAAGGGACCTCACGGAGGTCCCTTAGGCAAAAGGAATCCGCGTTTCACGGAGAGGAGCGGGCACACGCGTAGAGAGACGTTACAACCGAGAATCTGGATCGTGGCGGCACCCTATTGGCTGAAGGCCTTAAGCACTTTTTTTTTTTTTTTTTTTTCCCTTTTTTCTTTTCTGACATCGCTCCAAGGAAACGTCCTCGGGCGACGTCCCCGAGGCGACGCCCCGAGGACAGGTTGAAAGAAGGGCCCAAATTTCCTTTTGACTAAAAGGAATTTTTCCTCGGGCTCCGAGGACGCCCCAAGGAGTGTCGAACGAGCCCCTATGTATTTATAAAATAGAATAATCTTTTTTTTTTTTGGGGGGGGGGGGGGKGGRGGGGGGTGTAGAAAACAATGCACAATAGCGAAGGCATTGCCAGATTAAAACCAGACTGCCCTGCTGTGCCTGGTCTATCACTTGGTTGTTCCTACAGCTCACTAGCAACCCACTACAAGACGATATAAAGACCAGTGTTGTGCTATGTGACTGATTGAGAGCGCAAATCCAGCAGAGCATCAACATGTCCCCCATAAACATGCCACAATGACAAAGCAGCTGTGGAGAGGGATTCACACCACACCAGATTGAGATATGCACAGCGGAAGTCCAGTACCCAAGAAGAATAGAATAGAATCAATTCCATACTTCGAAAGTCCCCGCCACTCTCCAGTTCGATCAGGACCACAACATTAACCAAGGATCACAACCGAGAGCAAACCATCTTGACCAAACTAAGAACACAGTTTCATCGAGTCTCCAGAGTCTCCTCCTCCCTCCAACTCAACCACCATAGTTGGCTATGGCGCACAGCCCAATTTCACAGCGCCCAGCCTCACTACTCTGCAGCCGACCAGAACCTCCACTCTCCTCTGTCAGGAGCACCAACGTCGCCCACAACTCCCTTCGATGCTACAGTGCTCTGCCAGAGACCTCCTAGAACAACTACCTTCTTCCCCCACATACAACGTACGGTCATTATAGATGCATCTAGACTGAAAGATGGCTCAAATACAGCTATAATGACCGTACGTTGTATTCGGGGGAAGAAGGTAGCGCCAGCAGCAGGATTTAGAAGGGACCTCCGACTTGAATCAGAAGAGACGGCTGGGCATCATACAATGGATAATCCGCAGGAAACCAACATATGTCTGTGTAGGATCCTCAGAGACTATACGTGAAGAGTCCGAACAAAAAACAGAGTCGATTCACATTCTGATGATTCTGTACTAGTTTAAGAACAGAGTGCCATCATGGGTGGGGCTGGAATACGGTTGTTGTTAGTATCGCAGACCACAGATCATGCACTCCAAGTGACAAATATTTGGTGCGAGCTCGGAATTTGAGACATTTGTCAGCAGCCATCGCAGCAACCAAGAGGGCCAGGCAGGCATGGCTTGGGAGAGGGTACGAGATTTTTGGATTGCCATTCTGAATTGGCTGCTGGTGTAAGCATGCAGTGTAGGGCGGAGCTCACAGCATAGAATGAGCACCCACATTAAAAAAAAAACAAAAAAAGGGAAAAAAAACTCAAAAAAATTCAAAAATTTCAAAAAAGAAAAGAAAAAAAAGGAATGAACTGGGGTTAGTTTCAATCATCAAGGGTTTATCACTATCTATTTGTGTTGGGAGGCGAGTCGTGAAAAGAGGATTTGGATGGCCTCGTGAACGGATCCCCACCTGTTTGAGCGATGAGATCGTCTGACAGGCAGACGGTAATCGTCCTTGTGGAGGACATTGTTGAAGCCCGGAGGGTGTAAGGTGGTGGTTAGGCGCCGGACCGAAAACCCTTCACGAGTGGTAGCCGTATGCTTGAAACAATTAAGGACCGATGGAGCCATCATCATTCATCAGATAGAGACGGGGGTCAATATATTCCAAGGCCCAGACAACAAAGTGAAAAAGGTGGTTGTCAAGCCATGGAATGATAGAGATGACAGTGATGTCAACGAGTAGTTTGAGATGAATAGCGGGAGTGCCAGTGTTGTTGTACACAATAGTGAGCAGAGTGTGTAGTTTGCCCGACATATGTGCGGCCAGAGGGTATGCGAATAATAGCATAAACAATGGCAGGAGCTGAAAGAGCATCCGTTCTTGGTTGAATGGGGATCCGATCGATGCCTCGTAATTGCAGCTCAAGTAGTACCGCACGGGCTGCGTCTGCCTCATAGCGGAGTCGCTTTTTAAACCAGTTCATAGAAATGCGTGTTCCACTCATTGATGAGCACAGCAGCCAACTCTATTAGTCTGTCATGCATAGCGATGGAAAGAAAGAGTGACGGGGGTTAGCGTAGAGGGTGGCGAGGCATGAACAACATCCCCCCCCTCCCCCTTATAATCCCCTCTACGGTACCCCTCCTCACTCTTTCTCTCATCACCGCTATGCATGACAGACTACGGTCTACACCCGAACAGAATGCCCAGTCATTATAGCTGCATTTGGCCCAACTTTCAGTCCAGATGCGGCGATAACGACCAGGCGTTTCTATTCGGGTGAAGATGGTAGTGTGCTTGGTGTTCCAGCGCTGAATGCTGGGGGGGGCAGCCCCCCCCTGTGCATTTCTTGAATTGTTTTGCTTTAAACCACCAGTAGGTCCTCTGATCATCTGCCCATTAACCAGGAAGCCACAGGTGTTAGCAAATTTGTGGAGGTCCTCCCCACTGTAAAATATCTTGCAGGCCTTCCTGAAATCTGCAAGCACCCAGGACTTGCTGATCAAACCGCCACTACCTGCGGGCCTCTTTTTGCCAAGGCAGATCCCCCCTGTGCGCCCGAAAAAACGAGCCACCAATTCAGCGTTTCCTTTTTCTTTTGGCTGGTGCTGCCAGCCAAATATCTTTTTTTTTTTTTTTTTTTTTTTTT